CTTCCCCTCCTTCCGCCCCCTTCCTCCCCTTCCCTGGTTGTTTACACACAGGGATCTCTCATTTTGCCATGTCGCCATGATGACATTTATTTTTCTTTGCCTGGGATTTATTTATATATATAATTTAAATTATGATTTTCCTTCCTCAAAAAAAAATAAAATCCCAGGTTGTTCCTTCCTGCAGTGCAAGCACGTTGCGTGTTTAGCAGAGACGAAGGTGTGGGCGGCATTTCCCGCCCAGCAACGTGTGACAACGTGTGACGTGTGACAACGTGTGACAACGTGTGACAACGTGTGACAACGTGTGACAACGTCCGACAACGTGTGACACGTTGGCGGACTTCGGAGCCGAGCATAGTAAAGATTTGGTGTCGACTCCTTCGGAGTATCATACTCACGGCCGTGAAAATTGGACCGATTGGCGTTACCGATGATAGCGCCGTCGGAAAACGGCGGCGCTCTGCATCGGCAGCAAGGAGCGGGTGTGGGAAGGAGCTATGGAGTACTCGGTACTCCCGAGGTTCGGCCATCTCCCTCAGCCTCGACAAGGGGCTGTGTCTCCCTGTGGAATACCAGGGAGCAGGGGGGTTCCGGATCCCTCTTCAACCCTCAACACTCAAAATTTCAGGCTATTGCAACCTCTGTATGAACCCCGTTTTTGGAAAACATACATGACCAACAGCACGAAGAAGGGAGAGTGAGTCCAGTGTACGGCGAATGGTGAGTTAGACAGGGGCACTTCCGGGAGCAGCCTGTATTCAGTCCCTTTCTACGGCTGGATTCACCCCTTTTTGAACTTGCCTATTACTAGGCTATTACTATTGCATCGGCTCCTCAGAATTCTTAATCCTGGATAACTCCGACCACTGCCCCCTCACTGATTGCACGCAATGTTGCTCATCTCTCGTCCCCACCTGTTGTCATCAATACGCTGTTTTTTTTTGCACGCAGCATTTAGCACGAATAAACAAGGGATTTAGCATCTTTGATTTTCTACGGTCCACAGGCTGAGCTTTTTGCAATTTGCTGAGCTTTTCGCAATTTGCTGAGCTTTTCGCAATTTGCTGAGCTTTTCGCAATTTGCATCTAACCGAATTCATTGGCCTGTTTTTCTATTTCCCCTCTAGCTTGGGCTGTAGTGTAGATTTCTTCGCGTCTGACCGTATTTACAGACCAGATCCCTGCTCCCCCCTATCTCTAGGCTCTAGCTGTACCACGCTCGCTAGCACACGCCTCTCCGTTGAAGGAACGGAATGTTTATCGGAGGTGAACTTAGAGTGTTGGTGCTCTTTATGTTGCTTGGCTTCACTACGGTGTGAACTTAGATTGTTGGTGTGAACTTAGATTGTTGGTGTTCCTTCTGTGTAAACTTTGATTGTTGGTTTTCTTTCTTTTGCTTGGTTGCCTCTAGTTTGCAACACACCTGATAGTTCCGTGCTAAGTTTTCTCCTTTGGTATCTATACTGGGCTTGTCCGGAGCAGGCAACGGAAGCACTGGAGGTAGTGGGAGACCTACTAGTGGTTGTGGCAGCGTTGCTGAGCTACTTAGGGCACGACCGATTAGCATTTAGCTGATAAGAGAGCAAATCTGGGTTGTACCCATTGAGATCTAGAGTACCTGGAATACTCTGTACTTTCTACAGAGTCTCAAGGGTACAAGGTGGGAAACCTTGTCATGACAACCCAGGCTCCATACGGCTATTAGCTGGTCCGACGGGCCTCTCTTTTGGTTTTGATGGATCTTCCTTCAGATTTCTCCAAATCACCTGCTCCAGATAGAACTCTGTAGTTTGCTTTAGATCATTGGGTATTTGTCGTTTCTTGGCTGGTCACATTTAGCTATGGTCTCCTGCCAATGTAAGCAAGGTCTCTTCATTGGAAGTAGTCCGAGAACTGTCCTCTTTTCTGTAATATCTTTAAGCGAAGCTGGGTAAGGCTCCCAGTCAGAATAGCAGAATAACTGGTTAATTTGCTTAGTGGTTGCCTCTCTTATTATCTATCTATCTATCTATCTATCTATCTATCATTTCTCTCCGTTGATCATCATTTGAAGGACGTTTCTCCTGAAAAAAAAAAAAATAATAAAAAAAAAATGGACCGATTAAAAAAAATAAAATTTGAACGATGAAGAGAAAGAGACAAGATTGGCATCATGCCCCTGCTCATTCACGGATGATGACCCGCAAAAAAAGAGGGAAAAAAGGAAGATTTGGCGTTAACGGACGGTGTTTTTTTGGGTATGGAAGACGCCGCTGAATGTGTTAAACGTGAAATGCGAGACTTTTAGATCACATTCAAACTAGTGCTTTCGTATCTTCAGAGGAATATGGTCGCAACTGAGACCAGATGCATTCTGGAAACTGCGCACGGGCGCGTACTATGCCCTCCCTTATTCATCGGGGTGTGCCTGAACACACCCCTCGTCGTGTAACGAATCCTTTACCTGGTTCATTGATTGGTTGATTGATTTGATTGATTGGTTAATTGATTTGATGGATTCGACTGATAGATTGATTGGTTGATTGGTTGATTGATTGGTTGATTGATTGATGATATTGATTGATGATTGATATTGATTGATATTGATTGATAGATCAAGCATCGCCCCCCGTTGGCAATACCATGGGGTTGGCCGAGAGCATCGTTCCACTTTTGGCGATTAATTATCAGACGTCCGACGGTTTTTTAGCGTGGTCTAGACTGCGATGAGGACTCTTGATTTTTTTCTCTCTATTTCTTTAAACACCAAATTCTCGTGAAGTGAAGATAAACAGGGCAAATCACACGATCTGTAGAACATGACACCGCGAAGGTAGTTAAAAACGGGGGAGGGGGGTCGGGATTGTTCAGAGGACAAAAAAAAAAAAAAAAAAAAAAAAAAAAAAAAAAAA